GCTGGGAGTTCAGCCCTTTTCCCAGGGGCATCTTGGGTGCACAACAATGCAGCGACTGAAAAAGACCCAAAGTGAAACTTGAAACTTATTGAAAGTTCAAAAACAGTTCAAAAATATCAATATATTGATGAAGTTTCTTTTAATTTACCACCCACCACTTTCATACTTGAGCTTTTCTCCCTTGATATTTTCTCCTTTCTACTTTTAATTGACATTTCACGAAGGAGAAAAGGAAACTCGTGTGACCACACAAAAGAGAAAGGAATTCGTGGAAATGAGGAAGAGAATATCTTATTGTCTTCTATCTCACATGGAATTTCGCGAAAATGAGAGCATCCATCAGAAATAAATTTATACAACTTTCTATGTGTATATCTGAAATCTCAAAAACCGAGAGTAGGAAGCAAAGTTTAATATTTGACAATGATCTTATCAAAATTTACAAACTTTCCACTGTTAATAATTGTCATGTTGAGCAGGAGAATTTTAATAAAGAATCAAAGCAGTCATTTCCGCAATCTCTTCTATTTCTGTCTATTGATTGTTTTATTCATCACTGCATAGTGGAAAAATATACGCAAAATCCTTCAGTTGTTTACTTTCCCTTGTCTCAAGACGCCGAGGGAGACAAGGAATGAAGGGCTTAGTTGGCAGAATTGTAGCTTCAGCTGAGCTTTCGCAGTGTGACTCGCCAAAAGCATTCCCCTGAGCTTTGCCACCCCATCATGCAACTAGGCTTTAGGGTGAGAACGCGAGGGATTATCCGGGAACACGGAGTTTTTGCTTTCCGACACGAGACAATCCTTGCCCGGAAGCACCAATAATATTTCCATTCCTTAAGGCATCACCAGGTGTAGGAAAAGGATAATTTGGTGAGGGTGAAACCAGAAGGAAAATTGCAGCTGAGTTTCATTAACTTGCTATGGAATCAATTCAACTACTCACTTCCTTTATTCAACAATTCTATAGTGCAGAATATCAATATATGCACGTGATTATTGTTGAAATATCCTTGTGACACTTTACACAAAACTCCTGTTGTTGCGCTTTAAAAGTAGGCAAAATTAATATGCTTTAGATTGCGTAACATAACATTTCTAGGCTGAAAGGCGTTCAGTTGAACTTAATGAAGGTTGGAAAGAAAGAAGAAAGACGGAAAATAAGCCTTGATTAGATTGAATGACTCAGAGATTTACAACAAGTTCTCAAAGCAAGAACCCTTCCGAAAGCAAAAGGGTGCGTATTTGAGCGAGACGAAAGAAATTATTCTGCACTTTGCATCGTTGCGGAAAAGGAGGCGAAATATAGCAGATAAATCACCTCAACAAGCATGAAGTGGGTGGTGAACTGAAAACATCTCTCGTGGACGAGAGATGTTTTCCGGCAGCGTGTGGCCACCGTTAGGGCATAGAAAATCATGACTGTTATTGCTCTCCGTCAGAAAAACAACCACTTGTGCCTCCGAGTCCCCGAGGATGCCGCCCTGAATCATTTGGGAATCGGGAGGATGAGTGAGAAGGATGAATGCTAAATGTATCCGTGGTAGATACAGTAATGTGGTTGTGTATTTGAGGATATTAAGCGCGAAATCCAATATGTTTTATTCATATTTTCCCGATTCCCATAAATTTTCTTCAAGTGCGTTCAATTTTCCACCTCTTCTGCCACCCACTCACCCGCCGATTCACGTTCATTGAGCAAAAATTGTTCATGTTCAGTTCTTGTAACTTCTTCTTTTTTCCATCGATGGCACGGGGCGACGGGTGAGGAAACCTTCCGCAAACCGCCATTGGGGTTGAGAGGCAGCGGAAGGAAGTTTTACTGGGCGAAATTCGCATTTGGGCGCTCGAACAAGAGCGCGCTGAGAAGAGATAAAATGCTAATGGGCTTATTTGACTCTTCCCGTTTGTAAAATTGAAATTAATTTTCAAAGTATTCTGCCATGTTACGATGAGTTTTGGCGCGGGTGAAGAAATATTGGAAGAAGCGACAGAGCTTTTTTATTTGTTCCCTCTTCGCAATCCTGTTGATTCATTCAAAGACGAAGAGAACTTCCTTTATTGATTTACTTTCTGATTACACACAATTGATTGGAAATTTCGGCCGAGAAATTTCCCATTCACCACACTCTGCGTGGCTTTTATTGAGTTTTCAAGGGAAGAGCTCAAAGTATGGCTGATTTATGCTTGCAGGGGTGGAATTCTCTTATACACAATTTCTTAAAAATCAAACCTCTTGCAATCCCACTTATTCCAATGGGTACTTCTGAACACTTTTGCAAAGTAAAAGAGGTCCACTGTAAATTATTCACTGCTCGCCGACTTTTTTTCTCGGCTAACGACACTCGAGTATTTGTAGCACCTTTGGCCTCTTTAGGAAATCCCATTGGAGGACTCACCGAGAAATGGCATGAATATTTTAAAAAGTCTCTCTACTTGCGATGCTCTGTGTTCGGCGAGAAGGTGAAAATATGGGCAAAATCGTGTTTTCACCTTCTGGTGTGGACCTATTGAAAAATTCCTGAGAGATCGGTGACAAAATGCTTAAATCTTCCTTCCGAGACCATTCCAGCTCGAGCTCCCAATTTAAGAGCGCAACTTTAAAAATCACCGTCGTGTCCTCCATTTTTCCCCGTGCTCGCTCTGCTTCAGTAATTCCTTCTTCTGATTTTTTTTTCCTGCGGCCCGGGTGTGAGAAAAGTAATTCAATTTACCTTTTTTTTCTTGCACGCGAAAGTGGATGATTGGCTCAACACGTTGACTGGGTGCGTGTTTCTTTGTCACTTTTGTTAAATAAACCGTCACTGAAGAGGTGCCGGGTGAAATGGAAGAATTTCCCTGGGCAGAAGGAATGGATGGTTGACATTAGATCATTGAGACAAATTGAAAATTATCCCCTTTCGCTTTTTGTCCGTATTCATGAGTTACACCAGAAACATTTCTCAGCCTCAAGCTGACTTTCCGCGTTTCTGGCCAAGAATTGGCGAGAGGGTCTCTGGGAAAATTCACTGTTTTTAATCAATCTCTTCCAAAGGGGGTTTAGAAGAGAAAAATGCCTGTGAGCCAAGGAAAGTTTTCCACCTGACAAGATTTAAGACAACTCGAGATTGCACTTTAATGAGAGTTGAAAAAGCACAAAGACGGGAGTTCAGACACTTTTCCTGAATTATTATTTTTATTTCTCGCATTCCAAGCTGGCAAAAGTGGAATAATCATGGTAAATCCAGGAAGGATATTTACGACTCTATATAGGTATATTATGCACGTGGAAGCATCTAAGAATATCCTGATGAATGTAGAATAATATCCTTTGAGTGAAAATAATGATTTTATGAAGGTGAAATTAAAATTTGATGAAAAAGCATGCCAGCAAGTTTTTGCTATTGAAATAAAAACGGGAGAAAATTCATATTTCTGGATGTCATACAAATGTTCTCAGATGTCTGCTCACTGCCATGGTTAATTTATAAGAAAATGAATTATTCCCTCATAAAGGAGAAGATGTGAATCTTGATACGACTTCATCGTGAACTTTCATATTTCTTTGCCGAATACTTTCCCATTGCTTCAAACAGAAATTCATTCTCTTTAATGAGAGCGACTCAGAGCGAAAACATTCCTCAATTTCTGCATCAGAATAGCTGTACTTCCACATCTTCTATATAATTATAGTTAAACAAGACATTCAATTAGAGCATCTTCTGCCAGAAAGTAGAAAAATGTTACAGCCAGTCAAGTAAATCATTAGATGGAATTAAATTTTCCGGGAATTATTCAGAGAGAAATATAAAGAGAACTTGAATAGGTAGCACAAATTCATATTCTCACGAAAAATCACAATCATTTAAATCAAGAACTTTTCGCAGTCTCTCGAGAATGCAACATCTCCAATATGTGAACTGCGAATAACTCTTCTAACTCTGGAATATCACTATAACTCATGTGCAAGTATTCGTGTTGAGAGATTAATCTCCGAAACTCCAAGTATTTGGGGAACATCTGACTAATTGAGCTCCTTTTGGCAGTGTCAAATGATTTGGTTGTATCTCAACCCGTATTTCCGTGCTTTCAATGTTGATTTTCTGATCATATACCATGTGCCGAAACTTTTCTTGCACATTCGTGCAACTTTTAATTGGACTTTATGAAATAATGAGTGACGTGCTCGCTAAATTGTGATTGATTGTCCCTTTCACTGAGGAATGGTTAAATATTTGGCATCCTCTGCAGACTCAGCCCGCATGTTGAGTGATGTTTTATCAATTAAACTCGAGCTTAATTGCAAATAGCACCAATTTGTCGGAGAGAGTCGCTTTGCACGCTGGGCATCCGATATTCACCAGCGAATCTTTTGTTGCTAATTTCAATTACAATTTCCCCAATCACACACTCGAGAATGACCTTTTCTGCAATATGCTGGACCATAAGAGGGAGAAGGAAAAGTGGAAAATCACTCGACTTTGTGGGTGGAGAGTTATCAGCGCTGCCCTTTGTTAGACGCCATTGCCAGAGTGAGCGAAAGTGTGTCAGTTTACAAATCTTCGGGTCAAATGCAGGCCGCGCGAGGACAGAGGGTGGATGAAAAAGGTCGGAAATTCACTGTGGATGGATTGAATGACACAAATTGATTGTGTGTCATCCGCTTCTGTTGTTGGCCGAATGCTATTGAAGCTTGTTCCATCGCTCTAGACACATCAGTCCACAATCGCTCGATCCGTGAAAACACTAGGAAATAGATGAAGCTGTCTACTGTACATAATATAAATTACTTATAGTTCTGCTCTTCATTTTACATTCACTGCCAACGCATTCTCTATCCCCTTCTCTGGCATCACTGTGTACGTTCGATCCTTTCTGAGCTTCTCGAATCAGTGCAAAATGGTTTTCAAATAGTTTTTGCTGACAGAAAAAGCCTTGTTCTAAATCCAATCAGAAAACAATGTCAATTCTGATGACTCAACAAATATTAATCTAAATTAAAGTATTTTCATTGTTTTCGTCATGATTTTGTTTATTTTGGAACTTTATGGAAATGAATTTCATCTTTCATACCAAAATGAGAATCATTTCGGAGATGAGAGTCGTCTATTGAGGATTTAACAGAACTCTTTACTCTACCTGATCTTTCTTGCTCACGTACTCCACACATCTCGATGGATTGGTGGGGAAGAACTCCTGGCACTTGGTCATGAGCCTCTTCAAGCCCTGAATGTACTTCCGCTGCGTCTCGTCGTTCAGCACGTGAGCCACATTCTTACTGAAGATCTTCTCACGTCCTGTTCGCGCGTGAATTCCCACCATTGTGACTCCGATTGGCCACGGCGCATTGCCGATTGCCATTTGCAGGTAAGCGTCACTCGCGGCAATATAGTTTCGCTCTAGAAGAGCACGAGCAATGTCTGTGAGGCTGTCCAGAATGTCCTCGGGCAGAGTCTTGTTCTTCAACTTCCGAAACAGAGGCTTCATGTAAACGCGTGTCTGCGTGAAAGTCGCCCGGGCGATTTTCATCTTCGTGGACATCCTTTCGGCTGGTGAGCACTCATTGAGGTTGTTGTTCCACAGCTTCAGCACGTACTGCAGCAGAGAAGTGATGACATTCATGTCGTGATCCTTGTTTCCTCGGCCCAGACGCTTCGCCATCTCCTGAATCGCCTCCCATGTGACACTGTCGTCCTCACTGAAGTCTTCAGCGGAAGTCTTTTCACGCGAACTGCTGCTCTCAGCTCCATGAGAGGTGAGGATTTCATCGAGATACGCCTGATCCACTTGTTCCATCGCCTCTTGGAAGTCATTCCGGAAACCCCGATTAATCTCCGGTTCTGTGATTTCACACTGTCTCAGGCGCCGAAAGGCTTCATTCTCCGTCTCTCCGAACAGCAGGATTGGCTCGCAGCGCTCTCTGAGTCTCCTGATCACTTCCGGACGCGGCAGAATTGAGTGTTCACTCGTAACGTCGGTGCTGGTCACACAACTCCCGGAACTCGTGGTCTCAGCTTGTTCCTCCCTCTCGCCAAACTTCTGGAAGTACTCCTCCTTCTCCTTGGCCAGCAGCTCGCCTCTCTTGAAGTACTTCTTGTTGCTGTTCTGCAATTTGAACTCAGAAAATGTGGAATATTGAATGTAAACATTGGAAGGCAAGAACTTACGAGCAATTGCTTTTCCTCCAGCAGTTTTCGCTTTCTGGCAATTTCCGCTCTAAGGATGTCCATGACAATGTTACAAATTACTTCTTTGTCAAGGATTGAGTAAAATCACAAGGTTTTTTCTAATCTTACACAAGTGTTTTTAGTGGAAACGAGAGAAAAACGACACACACAAAATGTAAACAAGCAGGTTATCAAAAACAATGAAATGTCAATATTCGAGACACCAACCGCTTTCGTCAAAATGAAAATCGAAATTTGTAACATGAAATCGCATTGAAACATATGAAATCATGAAACCTAGAACAACATTAAACATCAATTCCTCCTGGAATCCCGATTTTTCAACTTCCCAGCCCAAGAAAAACAAGAATATTCTGGAAAATCACTTTTATTGAGACATTTCTTTCATATTTGACAATATTGCATAAGACTATTTCAATTAAAAAAATCAAATTGCATTTAAATTTCACGGTTAGAACTTCACAATCAAAATCTCCTGCAATGATTAATTAGGAAATATTTTATCCTTACTGTTGCTATTATAGAAACTAATTAGTTGCTTTCATTTAATTTTAATCCATCTATTTAGATATGAAAGAGAATGTAAGATTTTGGTTTTCTTATTTTTTTCCAGTGATTTTTATCCATATATTTTTTCATATATTTTTTAGAGAACTTTTTTTCCATAATTCACCTTCGCAATTTTCACATTGGACATTATTATGAAAAAAATTCCTCAATTACAGTCTTTCTCAATATAGTATGACAAATTTCCTCCTCATTTTTTTTGTAGTTTTGTGTTCATTCTATCAGTGTTGGGCTTCTCTTCTTCTCATAAGCAATAACAAAAAAGTTGTAGTATATTTCAAATGTATAAAAGAACTTAAATCTAGTTTTATCTTTCAAATTTCTTGCAAATTTAGGGTACACTTCTCACCGTCACGCTTATGTTAAGAGTGGCGGCCCGATTCTCAGTTAACATTACATGCTTAAGTAGTTTTTCTGATTTTTTTTTCGACAAAAAATAATCCTAAGAAATAATTCATCTGTGTATAGTTGTAGAAATAGACAAGCAAAAGTGTAAGATAGTAAAAATAATATTTCAAAGTCGTCAAGAGTTTGTTATAAGTAAATTCATTATGCAGTTACATAGTTTTTCATGTTAACAACTAAGTTGAATTTTGCTGCTTAGCGAAAAAAGAACTCTGGAAGCATTTAAAATTACATGTAAACAAGTGTATAAAAGGAAAAAATAGAGATTTTAAATCTACTTCTTGTATTGTTTGCTGTTTTATTCCACATTCTTTCCAATTCTTTCACTTTATTATCATTCTTCACGGATTTTCTTACCTCCATTCTTCTTCTTTTTTATTTTTCAAACTCGATCGAAACACTTCTATTGCTTTTTTGAATCCGATTTCTCTCTTCTTCTTCTTTTTTCCTTTTCGAGAATCTTGTCACTCTTCAAATTATTTGTTCACCTTCTTCTTTCACGTCTCACAATTTTATTCAGTGCTTTTATCACAAATATATTGTTTTTTTCTTCTTCTTCTCATTTAAAAAAAAAACATTTCTCCCAACTTTTCAGTATTTTTCTCCTTTTCGTTCCTTTAGCATGCGATGTTGTTTGCAGTTTCTGAAAAATATCTCTTGACTTATTCCACAAAAAGTTAAATTTTAGCTTTTCTTGTGTTTTAACGCTCCTTTTTTTACATTCGACTTCTATTCTGTCCTTATCTCTATGTTTTGTAATCCATAAGAATTTTGTTCACTAACTTCATGGCCGTTTGAAAGAGAAAAATGTTTGTATATAAATAGTGGTGAGAAGGAGGTAAAATTTTTCTTTGCAAATTGCAACTGCTCTTTTGCGTAGTTTAGGCTCCTACATATCCATGCGAAAAAAATAATGTCACGGACAAATTACACCCAAATTTTCATTCAAGCTTTCTGAGTTAGCCTAAACTTTAATTTTTCATTTTTTTTTCTCTGAAACCAGATATTCAAAAATTAATGGAAATAGTAAAATGCTTGTTAGAAAACATTTACTTGTTTTTTTTTGTAAAAACTGTAATACTTTCTCAAGTGACAAAAAAAAATTCAAATTTCTGTAGGATTAACATTAGAAAAAGAAAGAAACAGATGAAATTCAATTTCAATCGTGATTTGAATCTGAAAAAATTGCGTTTCACTTATTATCAATAAAAGTTTTACTCATCTTAAAGATTTTCCTTTTAGTAACACTTTTTATAGTAAAGATTTTTAAAAGTTTTTGTGGATTTTTTTTCTAGAGATTTTTTAAAATGATTTTTTTTAGTTTTTTTTGTGAGGTTTTCTCTATTATTTGTATTTCTTAGTAATTATTCATCTCTTTTATCAATAATAATTACTTGGAAGCATTTTATACCGGGCTCATGCTTTTTAGTTTCCCCGTTCGAAATTCTCAGCGATCTCCTGAATTTCCTTCTTCTTTTTGCATACTCTTTCGTATGAGCCTCTAAATAAAGAGAGATTAAACAATTTTTTTTCCCACGATGATCACTGTATTCTCTTTTCCCTGTGCTCTCTGAAATAAAAACCAATGGGAAAAGAGAACAGAGCAGTTCGCATCGTATTATTTCATTTCACTTCCATCGCCACTCATCATATATAAAAATATATATTTTTCTTTAAATTTAACATCTCTAATATTTGATGGTGTTTCAATCAAAGACTTTTCCTCTATTCGATCTCATAACTTTCTTTTAGGATTCTTTAAGACATTTCTAAAATGAAATTTCACATAAGAAAGAATTCTCTACACACATTTTGACCAGAATCCAAAGTGAATTTCGCTCTTGGTTCTCTCTCTCTCTCTCTCTCTCTTGTTTTTGCCTATGCTAAATTCACTTTGAGGCATGAAAAAAATTCTAACATCTTTTCTTCTTCTTTTTAATCTTGCTACACCACAATATTTCGAAATTACTACAAAATATTTTTCTCTGTATAATCCATTCATAAAAATCTCATCTTTCTCTCGCTCCTCATCATAATTCTCACCAAAATTCACAAAAAATTTCATCAAATTTTCTCCACACGTTGACTTTCTGTAGTCAACTTGACAAGGTATTAATTAAATGTAAGAGTTGTACATAAAGGTATTTATTAGAAGGTAAATATTTTTTTTCTTTAAAATTACTATCTTTAGGTATTTGTAAGGTATTTTCTCATTTTTAGCAATTATTCTTCATCAATTAGTACAATTGAAAAAATGTTACAATGATGATATGAGTGAAATGTGAAATTTCTCACAAAATTACCATGATTCTTTTTTGTCAAAATGAGATGCTTTTTCATGGGTGATTTCATGACTATACATACTATACTAAGTATGGGAAGTAATTTTGCAAATCAAATGGATTCCAGTCGATGAAATGTACTTTTGCCCCCTTGCGCAACTCAGCCAGAGGAGGGTCTTTCAGGGTTTGTTAACTTACAAAAGAAATAATTAATAAATGCTCTGACACTGGGAGATGATCTTAAACTTCAATGTTACTCGATAACCAGCAAATGTGCTGGACTTCTTCTCTCATCATACATTAAAAAAAAAAAACTTTCATTTTGCTCAACAATTTCCGCACTCCCTATCATGGGAGAGCAGCTCTTCTCTTTCTCATATCCTGACAATTTTTTATGACTTCAATTGTACACAAAAAGATTTGCAAAAATTATAAAATATAACATGGCAACTTATTCATGTGACTTTCATCGATTATGTTGGATATTTTTTTTTAAGTGTGTTCTTCTCCTCTCTCTTTTTTTTCCATATCTTTCTCATCAACACTACCCTTGCCGTAGTTCCTTCGTTAGCATCTTCAATAATTAATTAAATGGTTATAAAAATTATTCATATTCCATCTCTTTTATGCAAAATGTAAATTGAATGACTGACAAATGATCACATTTTTTATTATACTTTTTCTCCTCCACAGAATTTTCTTCCTCATTCATTCTTGTTGCTTTCCACATCTTTTCTCGTATTGTTGTCTTCACAGATTTCTTAGCACACTCTTGTTCGCAGTCACACCTAAATATGTATTGTAGAAAAACAACGGAAAGGGGATTTTTTTTTTCTTTCACTTCGTTGTCTTCAAAATTTTTGCCAGAATATTGTGTTCACATTCACGCACGCTCACACCAAAAGCTTTCACGTGAGAGAAATGAAAGGATTCTCGGATGGATGAATGTGTGATTTGTCCCCATTCATTTCTCTCAATATAATTGTTATTTTCTTTTTTTACTTCAATAATGGATTTCTGTTTCTTCTCTTGTGATTATGATTGTTTTAGCATGGAGTAAAGAAGGGGTTTTATTGGTGCTAAAAACCAAATCTATAGAGCTAAAATGACAGTTTGTTATGCGAGTGAGGATAAACTGTCGAAGATGACATTATACCCCTTCGCAATTGATGGACTATTCTTCGAATAGTCCCTTTGTGAAAGAAATAGTGTGATCTTCGAGATTGTGGTGCTTATCACTTTCTTAAATCATGTAGTATCACTTTCGAAAGTACCCGATCATGTTCTTAAAGACAGTTACTATCACTCCAGAAATTGCTGTTGTCACTTCCAGAATCATTTTTCAACTTTTCATCACTTTTATTTCATATACAAAAGAAAAACGTGACATTAGAATAACTTCCCTTCGAAAGCAAAAGATCTACTCTTCCAAGAGTGATCACAGTAACTTCAAAAGTGATAGTATCCTATCAATCACATGTGGCAAAGATCTAAAATTATGCTGTACACAAATTGAATTTTCAATTCAAGTTACAAAGAAATCAATTCTTCGTGGTTCATCCAAACTAAATAACTTCTGTTCCTGACAATATCCTTCACTCGCAACTTGGAAGAACAAATTCCACGGGTGTGCCCAGCACTAGCATGCCGGTCGGGAGGGGTGAAATTCCATGATAGTTGGGGTTCCGGGAAGGGTGAATGAGTTGGAAGGACGTGCACCTGAGTCTAGCCACTGGCCGTGGCCGCCGTTCCGCCGCGGATCTCGATGCTAGAGGCGCGCGAGGAGATGGACCTCAGGCGGCGCTGCATGAGGAGACTCTCACTGGGCGGCGACAGCCCAATGCAGTTGCTGCCCCCGTGGTCGTCCTCAGCGCCGCCACCGTTCGCCCCAGTGTTGGACGGCACGACGGACATGCCGCATGGCCGGGCGAAGACGCACTCATTGCGCCAATTGCGGATGTGATTGTTGCTGTATTGCTGATTGTTAAAACTACGATAATTCCTAAAGCCTAGTGGATATTTATCAGCCGATGTGCTACTCCTGTAGCGCCAATTCTCCTCAGGTGGAATACCTCTGGCCACCATCTGGCCACCCTTGGTGGGATTCTTTCGTCGGTTTGAGTCCTCGCGCCTCACCTTCTCCGCCTCCGGCAACTTCTCCTTCAGCTCCATAATACTGTCGAGCGCCCCCTTGGGCGCCCCACTCGTCTCGAGGCCCTTGCCGTACTTGCCCGAAGCCCCAGAGCCGACGCCGGAACTGGTGCGCGCCTGGTGCTGATCCATGTGCTGACGCAGAGTCGTCTTGGCGTCCTCGAGGCCATTCTTCGATGGCTGATAGATATTTGGACGTTCTTTTGTCATGTAATCATAGCGCATTGAGAAATGCTGCAAAATTACACGTTTCACAGCCATTGCCGATTCAGCAAATTGTGACAATTCACGTGCCGATTGATTGCTGAAACAGAAGAAAAATATTTTCACGTCAGCTGCAAGTTACGATAAGGCATGCGCTTTACTATACTATAAGACAACACAGCAGCTTAACAAAGCATCCTAAATTTCATCTTCACTAGCAATTTTTCCAATTAATCCCGATGATTCTCGATCGAGATCACACATCAGAAATTCTTTTATAATTGTTTAATTGACGTATAATTCAATGCAGATGAGTGTAAAATGACGTAAAGAGTTATCTTGTGTGTAAAATAGTGTCTCAATATAAAAATCTCAATTATTCTTATAACAATGTAAGCGATAAAAGCTACCATATTAATTGAGCTAACTCATTATTTTAATATGAACAATTTGCTCATAGTCAAATCTTACAGAGCAATCACGCGATAAAACACACGAGTGATATTTCATTGAATATCACTTTGCAATTGCGCACAATTTAAGATATGTAACAGATCAGTAATTGAGCCATTTCAATAGTATTTCTCGATGTGCCAAATTTTGTTGATTAGATGTGTAGATTTGGATATCTCATTGATGAACAGCCGAAATGACTCACTAACTTGATCATGTTAATTTCTGTTCACTTAACTCAATCACAAGATGAGCAATTAAATTCTCTTCCAGTCATTTCAGCGCAAAAGATTCGAATTTAGCAATTCCGCATTAGAAGCAAAAATGCTATTATTGACTTTATGGCTACACTTTTAAAAATCTTGAGAAAAACTCCAGTCATCCATTGCCTTGACATTGTAGGAAACATTGACACGAGTGTAATAGTCTTATAAATAGAAACTCATCGTTCTTGTGCCCTGCAATTAGTCATTACTTCTTTAAATTCTATCGACATCTCCTTCAATTTTTTTTCCTCTATCAGCAAATTTATGAGTGTATGTTTAGCTGGTACGTTATCAGTTCAATGCGACTGTTGTGAGTGAAGAAATACCACCCAGAAAAATTGCTCGCGCGATAAGGAGTTATGTTTTTGTTTTTCAATTCTGCTCTGATAACGATTTGCCATTTTTTGCCGGGCGACCACATATGCATGGAAAATGGCCAAAAAAGGAAATGGGACAAGGTCTCTCTCGATCTCCCTCAATCACTTTATCACTCATGAAGGTGGAAGCAATTCAGTGAGATTTCTGATACTATTTTGAGGTCTGAAAGTGCGCATTCAGGAAATTGGGGCTTTTCCGGCTTCATCCAGTTTCATCCAGGGCATTCTTTGGCGCTATGGAAGAAAAAAATTTTCCATCGCTCAAGATAAAGATAAGGAAGGTGACTCTTGTGCTCGGATATTGTGACTGGCACGCAGAAAAGAGAACTCATCATTTTCTCCTCTCCTGACAATCAACCAACAACAAAAAAACGACTTGTTTTCTCGACAATCTCGTGGGATTTTATACTCAATCCAGCCAGATAAAATTATATTGTGGCAGAGTTGTAAATGTTTCGATAATCTCCCAAGTGTGCGCACATGTTTCGAATGATAAACACTTTGAACTTCCTTGGGGGAAACATCTTGCAGTACATGTCGCGATGAAAGTGATCTTATAAATGGCAAACAAAATGTCTAGATCATTATTTAATAAATATGCTAATTGGATTGCGCTTTATGCAATCTGTGGCCATAAAATGTACCCTCAAGACGCAACAGTGTGCCTCAATTAGATCACTTTACGAACATTTCTTTCACTCCACATGTCTTAAAATACGCTTACTATAATAAATTTGCTGCAAATTGATATCATTTCCTCGTCTTTTTTTTTATTATTTTGTATTGTATTGTATCTCCCCCTCGAAGTTTCTCTCTTTCTCTCCTCGCTTTTCTTTATAGCCGCCATAGTCGAAAGATGGGCTCGTTTGATGTCATCGAGGAGAGAAATTTTCATAAATAAAATTTCACGATGATGTCTTTTCTGGCATGGGATTTCCCCGGAAAATTTCTCTCAGCGGAGATCTGCATATTTTTATCTCCATCTATAAATAGGTGTCTCTCTTTGTTCCAAAGATATTCCCATATTTTCCTCCCAAAGACTCAGATTATACATTCTTAGTCGCTTTCAATGTCACTTGAAATGTCCAAATGTTTTCGCCATAATTTTGATTTATTCCCCACTTGAATTGATTTACTTTTCCAAATATTCCCCAAGTGGTGCTCAACCTACTCTTCGTCCACAGTTCTTATCAAATTTTTCCTACATTTCCATGTTTTCCTACAATTTCTGTCTCAAAGGAATTATTCATACCAGAAATAACACCACTTTTCGATATTTGCTTTATATGCTACCAAAATAAATATAAAAGTTATCGCAATATCTACGCATAATTTTTCTCCACCTTCTTCAAAGTCAAAACACTGTTCTATCTATCATTGAGATAACGCACCGATAACAGATGGAAGGCATAATTTAAACCATGAGAGACTTACCGGCGAATAATACCGGGTGTCTGGAGAGCCCTGCGCCTCTGCTCTCTCACCACCCCGTCGATGGTGTCCTCCTCATCGGCCATCCTGATCCAAGAATGGTGGAGCACGGCCTCGGCGCTGAGGCGCTTCGGAGCCTCCTTCACCAGGAGCCCCTTGATCAGGTCCTTAGCCTCGTCACTGACACCATCCCACTCGGGCTCGGGGAAGCCGAACCGGCCATCCTGGATGGACTCGAACAGCAACTCCTGACAGGTACGACAATTCTCGCCACGATTCCACCCGCAGTCCTGCTCGCAGTTCCCTGAGAATGGCGGATAGCCGCACAAGAGGATGTAGGCGATGACACCCAAGGACCAGAGATCGCACCGCTTATCATAGTGATTCGCCTCGCCGACAAACAAATCCACCACCTCGGGTGCCATGAATTCGGCACTGCCCACCTGAGGAAGAGACAAAACAGAGCGATCATGAGTGATTTATACTCTATTCCCCTCGTCAAAATGCCTTATTTATATTCCCGCATCGCTGACTTCCTCAGACTCTCTATTTCAACGGCTTTTTTTGCAAAAATTCTACGCCACGTTTTTTTTGCGCGCCACTCGTCAGGAAATTGTGGATGCCCTTGAACATTTTTTACCATCCATATACCACGGGAAAACACAAACATGCCCGGCGTATATGCCGAAATATATGCCAAAAGCACCCATTTACACGCAAAAACATAAACAAGCCTTCATTTATCCTATTTGAGTGCTATAGATAAATTCACTTGATATTGCCGTGTGGTTGTTACAAATAAATAAATGAGACAAGTCACACGGTGAGTTTCTCTCTCATATCTCATGTTCAACTGACCAAAACAACCATATCTTCTGCGATGCTGAGGATCGACGCGATCGTGGCTAGAAAACAGGCGATCTTCATTCATTTATAGCCATCGACAAAAAAAAATGGCACACACTATCACGAGCTCTCGACAGAAGAATGTTTGATATTCAATAGATTGAGTATGGAAATTTTTTCTGATGCTCAAAATCCAGAACATTCGATCGACAGAAGTTGTTTTTCTGTGCCAATATCGCATAATAAATTTGCACACTTTACTACGCATCGCAAATTCAGTGGCACAAAAAGGCCAAACTATTAATTTTTTATAGTGAATCAAACACCCAAGAGGATCATCATCAAAAAGGTCTTTGGCTGTGAGGATATCATCAAAATTGTGGCGCAAAAGCCTCGCGATCATGGTATTTATAGCGTGAAATGGTCATAACAGTCTAATTGGAATTTTAACTACACTTCTTCAAAATGCTGAAAATCTAATTAGAGCAATATCGGCGGTGGCGATTAGCGTTATCGAGAATTTTATTTTGTTTATAAAAGTGATTAATGAGAGTTTTATGCTCCTCGCAGAAAAATCTCGAGGACAAAGTCAGAATAAATCGTTCTGCCAGAAAACAAAGTCATTGACGTTTGGCAGAAGGAAGAAAACTATATGTAAAATTGAAGGATTTTAGCATAATTGTATACTCAAACGCGATTGCAATTTCAAAATTGAACTTTTCGCGATTTCAAACCAAAAACAATTTCTCATCACAAAAAATTACTATCTCTCTGAAATTTGAGGAAATGAGGAATCATTTTGCGAGACCGCACAATAAAACTGATAACAGACGAATTTTAAAAAAAAAATGTTGATTACAATTTTGCAAATATATAGAAAAAAAAACGCCCACAAAGACGGAAATAATTTGGCACAGAACCATATCGCATCTCAAGCACAAATGACCTTTAATTGTACAAAAAAGGCATCGGAGTTCCACAAAGCGCTGCAACAACTGAAGAAGGCGAATAATTGTCATCTCCCGTTGATATTTGCCGTAAATTAACTTTTCATCATCTTCCGCGTATGCGTCTTGCCTTCGGCCAAGAGTCATTGACATGCATTGAATATTGAGGCGGAGAGGAAAAAATATTCTCCAGAACCGATCAGTCAAGTCATCTTTCATGAAATTGCACCGGGCTCGAACAGAAGGCGCAGCTTTCACCTCCTCTGCCCGCCTCTTGTCATGCCATCGCGAAAACAAATAAATACACTGTCAATTGCAGACTTTCTTCACTAAACCTGGAGAGATACTCTCGAGCCCATCAGATAAATGAATTCGCCGATAATGAACGGCAAATAAAATTTCACACACGAGCTTCCATTGTGCGGAAAAATGCCTTTAACAATCCTCAATCAGGAGAACACAGAGTGTCTCAGGTATTGCACAGACGTTCATTGCCTAAGTCTCCTTCACACGATCAACAAACACGGACCATCAGCTGCTATTTCTCTTCATCGTCAGAAAGCAAATAGACATAGACATATATTTAATGTAAGAATCATCTCCATCAGTCGTTCTCTTGTCGTCTTGACAAATTGTGAGAATATTATGTAATGGATAAACACCCAAGCCAAACAAGCATTAACCCGTGTGCATGAAATCATACACCGAAGGTCCTGCTAAGAACATCAGACTATTGTCAACAGAAATGGAAGGTTCCAGGCTTCAAGGAATTCTTCATCAATGGAAATTTCTGCTTTGGAGGACGCAACAACCGAAAAATATGGATGAAAACGAATATTAATTGGCATTTGCAAATTAAATACAGCATCAAATATCCAAAATGAGACAAAAGGAAGACTTTCACCCAAAATAGCAGTCTTAACTCAGCCCCACTCTCATGAGATTTATTTGTCACGTCGGGCGAACAATTAAAATTTTTGCAACACTGAAGTATGCACATATATTTGCACGATGCAAAATTTTTAAATGCAATCCAACCCCAATTAATCAAAGCGTACTTGAATGACATTTTTAACATTTCTGGGTAAACAATAATAGCAGGCGATACAAAAATAATTTTTTGAATCTATATTAAAACAGCTTTTATCCCACGAAAACATTCCACACATTCATTCCCATGTTTGCATACAATTCACATGCAAATATCCCTTAATTTGTCAAATGGTACAGTGTGATTTTTTGCCACTCTCATTATCAATCCCGTTCATGTGAAATTCACCAATCACATCAGCCGGCACAACTGAATATATTCCCTCTTCTCACTCATCCAGCAAAATTTATTTGGTATTGTTTGATATGTACACCACGGGGTTTCTCATGGAAATTTACCAAGTCGGCAGTGCGTAGTATATTCCACTAACACTATACAACGCCATATAGTGTTTTTTTTTCACCACTCTTTCTCTCTCTCCTCTTCGACCTTTTCTGTGTGTGGCGTCGCAGAAGAATTCTCCTGCTTCGCTCACACATCATCTGTGCAAAGAGTTAAGTGTATTAACTTCAAGGTTACCAAAATAGCAATTTCCATGTTACTTTTTAATTTAATTCGCTTCTGTGCAAATTATTCTTTCTCGGTTCCTCTTCTTCTTCTTCTTCTCTCTCTCACGATGTTATTGGTCAAGCCAAGCGAAAACATCAACAAAGCTTCATTATTTATGACATAATCGAGGAGTTTTTTTTTCTTCTCTCATTCTCTATTTTCTTCTCATGTCTTCGTTTTATTCTCTCTCCAACACAGAAGTGGTCATTCTTCTTTTGGATCTCAGTTGCTCGAAGGCAAGAGAAGAAGAATCGAGAAACCAAGCAAGAAATTATTCTACTTTTGCCCCACATCGCAATCTCTCTTGGGCTTTTTAATTGCGACAAAGCAATTAATTCAACTCTTTCATGATTGGAAAGACGAAAAGAATCCACTGAGATGCTAAGAAATATTCCAAGATTACAACAAAAAATTACTATTCTTCCGAGAGAAAAAGAAATATTAGAGAAAATACATCCACCCTCGATGAGACAAATTGTCTCTCAGATCTCATAAATCCCCAACAGACTGAATGGTAATTAGATGGCTAGAGCCGCGTTAATTGCGTATAGACCACAAATTCCAAGAACAAAAGTCACTGGGGAAGATTTCAAGGACATTCGCAATTGCGTGATGTTTTAAATAGAGCACAATAAGAGAATCATGTTTTATTTCACGCCTATAAACTATGTGAGAATTAAAATGCGAGTGAGTCTCGCTGAACACATCATTATATTGCCAAGTAATTATCAAGGAATGACGTGTAGAAAAAGGAAAAGTACACCATAAATCTACAAAATCAACTGAGCAGTTTCTAAAAGAATTTCGTTATTCACTCTAAATCCGTGCAAATCATTTCAGGGACTCACAAAGTGTGACAACGATGAGATTAATATTCAAGCTATCTGCAAACCAAGTAGTTAACTTAAAACAATAATCATCAAGTAACAAAGAAGTGTTTTCCAAGCAACGCCGCTTAAAAAGAATATCTCGCTCATGATTGCTTCAAGTGCCTGTCATAGGGGCATAATTCCATTGAGAAGTTGCAATTGTAAAATAATTTGTCATCGATTGATTTACTGAATTCTATGAACAATAGTACGAAACGTACATTGAGAAGAAGGTGTATCGCTTCAAAAAAAAAATAAAAAGTAGAATTCACAGTAAAATTTTATTGTTCTCGTGCCTCACTTCATATGGCACGATGCAGATTGTACCTGAAAGGGCTTATTGTTTTGCAATAAAACCATACACGGTGGAGTACATTGAATTTTTTCGCAGCTTTTTTTGGGTCATCTGCATCGTCAGCAATAAATAACACTGTATACAAAGAGGTGACTTTCTATTATTCCTTATTTTCTTCACCTTAATTGATCTTTCAATTCCATTCGCCTCATGCCTTTTGTCTCTTCGTGCAGAATCTATTTGGCATTCTCTTCGCGTTCACCACGGCAATTTTGGACAATATTTTTCCAGCACACAAATGCGGAAATTAATCTTCGGCGCGACACACTGTGAAGTTATGAGTCTCGTGTTTCAGTCACAAAGTGTCGTACATTTTGTGAGTTACAAGCGTTACAAGTCAATGATAACGTGAGCATTGGATGTGGACATATCGTGAAAGAAAATCCCCATTGTTGCACCGCGCGACACAAGAATGCACCTCTGAAATGCATTCACCCAATTTATCTGTATGTAGGAACGATCACCTTTTTGTGGTTTCTGATCACTTGAGCTCAGTTTCTCTGTGCGCGACCCAATTGCATTGAAATTTTCTTCTTTTTCTCTCATTATTGCCTCCTCTGCCCCAGACAATAAAGAGATGAATTGATTAACCGTAAAGGTTGTACCGTGAATCCTTTTAGTGTGTCAATACACTCGTCGAGAGAGAAAAACGGCCAGACAGAAACGCAAAGTAAGGGTCCAAGGTGCATCGGCCATTCCATTTGAGAGCTTTCTTGAAGATCGATTAAAGAAGAAAAAAAAACTCCACTGACATTATTTTATGTGCATTTAGACATTTAATTAATGGTCCTGCTTAGCCAGTTTTGCCATTTCATTTGAACTCTTT